CCATATTTATTTACCAATATACCATTTTAGACATGTTTCAAGTTGCCTGGGGTAAAAAAGGCTACGTATATTAAGAAATACAGGCAAAATGTAAGCACCGCCTACCGCAATTTTCAATTGAGAAATTGCGGTAGGCGGTGTTTATTTTTAATCGTCGTGAGCCGGGGGACGGATATTAATGGCAAAATCCTTATTTTTCTACAAGAAATTGTCATGTGAAGCATGTTCTTAAGTAATCGAGAAAATTATGTGCATTAAGCAAAAAATTATTGAGTAATATATGGACACTATGTTTTTTATTATTGTATCTCTTATTTTTTTGTGTCACAAAATTGTTGAAAGAAAACAATGTACATAAAGGAAAAAAAAACAAAGATTATTATTGTGATGAGTTTTTCATTCCTAATCAGACTGAGGGGCGGAGTTTAATTAAACATGAAAATTTCTCTACAAAATTCTTCCTTTTTAAAAACATACTTCGTATCGTAATTTCTTGCAGAAAAACGAGCTCACGATGACTAAAAAGTTCATCACAACTAAGAAGGGGTGGGTGGGTGGGGCTTATATTTTGCCCATTTTTTCTTAATATACGAAGTCTTTTTTCCCAAAAAGAAGCTGAAAACATGTTAACTGTCATCCTGTTATTGAAATAAAACTATATTAAAAAAAAACAAAGATTAAACCCTACCCACCCGCCCCGATCTCAATTGTGATGAGTTTTCATCAGAGTGATTGTTTAAAGAAGAACAAAAAGAAAGTCAAAGGATAAGCCCCACCCATCCGCCCCCATCTCAATTATCCTTAAGATTTTATTCGTTGTGAGACGGGGGCGGAGCTTAATTGAAAAGTTCATATTTCCCTCCAAGAAATTACTAAATGAAACATGTTTTAATTATTATGTGTTCAAAGAAAACTATATATACCGGGTGTCTGGAAAATGGCGGATTAACTCTTCAGTACGTTAAGTACAGGGGTTTCGGGAGTCCTAAAGTTAGTACTTGCTAAGATAAGAGTGATTTTGGCAAATAAGATACCCTCTAAGAAGACAGAGGGCGGGTGGGCGGGGCTAGTATCTGCCAAGATAAATATGATTTTGGGAATGACATATTTTCTAAGAAAAGAGAGGGAGGGTGGGCGGGTTTTCTAGTGGCTGCCAAGGTAAGACTGATTTTGGCAAAAGAAATACTTTCTAAAGGAAGAGAGGGTGGGTGGGCGGGGCTAGTACCTGCTAAGATAAGACTGATTTTGGCAGATGAAATGCTCTCTAAGAGAAAAGAGGGCGGGTAGGCGGGGCTAGTACCTGCTAAGATAAAACTGATTTTGGCAAATGACGTATCCTCTAAGAAATTTAATTAAATTAATATTACTAAAAACGACACTAGAGGCTCCAAAGCACTTTCATATTCTTTCCAAGCAGGAATACCTAGAACCTCAAGATTGTTTTAAATTTTTCAAAAAAAAAAAAGAAACGATGTCCCAAAATTAACTCAAAAACAGGTTAGGTCGTAATTTTGTAAAAATGGAACACCAAAGTTCCCCAAAATTGTTTTAAATAATTTATAAAAAAAATATCCTTGGGTTCCCAGAATAATACACCATGGGTACACAAAAGTCTCCCGAATTAAAAAAAAAGCATTTCAGCACTTAAGACTTTTTCAAATTCACAAAAAATGTAGACTATTTTGAGAAAAAATAAAAAAAATCAAATTCACCATTTGATATTTTAAGAATTTTATTTTTGAACGAAGACTGTATCTTACGAAAAGAAAGTCAAAAGATGAGCCCCACCCACTCGCTCTCATCTCAATTGTGATTAATTTTTTTATTCGTTATGAGACGAGGGGCGGAGCTTAATTGAAAAGTTCACATTTCTCTTCAAGAAATTACCACGACAAACATGTTTTAAGTATCATGTTATTGGGAGAAAACTATATATATTACGAAAAAGCAGCCGATAATTATGCCCCGCCCACCCGCCCGATCCCAATTGTAATAAATTTTTTATTCCTTGTGAGACAAGAGGGCGGAGTTTAATGGCAAAGTCTAAATTTCTGTACAAGAAATTACCAAATGAAACATGTTTGTGGTATTATCGCATTATTGAAAATACACTAATTAGATAAAAAGTAGCGAAAGAATATACTTATTCCCCCAAAAGTAAAAGAAGATGTCGAAGGAAGAAAAAAAAAAACTACACAAAAATAAAGCGTTTAGTAGTCACAACTTAACTTTTTAGTAAATTTGTAACGTACATTGGTGAATCAGGCAACTTTGGTGACGCAGCTAGATATAATTCCAACCTCAAATTCACCATTTGATCCTTTAAGTATTTTATTTTTGAAAGGCGGCAATGTATCTTACGAGAAGGAAGTCAAAGGATAAGCTACACCCACCCGCCCTTATCTCAATTGTGATTAATTTTTTTATTCGTCATGTGACGAGAGGCGGAGCTTAATAGAAAAGTTCATATTTCTCTCAAAGAAATTAGCATGTAAACATCTTTTAAGTATCCTTTTATTGAAAGAAAACCATATATATATTAAGAAAAATCAGCCAAGGATTATGCCCCGCCCACCTGCCCGATCCCAATTGTAATATATTTTTTATTCCTTGTGAGACCAGGGGGCGGAGTATAATTGCAAAGTTTAAATTTCTGTACAAGAAATTACCAAATGAAACATATGTTTGTGGTATTATCGCATTATTGAAAATAGACTAATTTGCTAAAAAGTAGCGAAAGAATATACTTATTTCCCCAAAAGTAAAAGAAGATGTCGAAAAGAAGAAAAAAAACTATACAAAAATAAAGAGTTTAGTAGACACAACTTAGCATTTTAGTAAATTTGTAACGTAAATTGGTGGATCTGGCAACTTTGGTGACGCAGGTAGATATAATTCCAACCTCAAATTCACCATTTGGTTGTTTAAGTATTTTATTTTTGAAAGGCGGCAATGTATCTTACGAAAAAGAAGTCACAGGATGAGCCCCACCCACGCGCCCTTATCTCAATTGTGATTAATATTTTTATTCGTCATGAGACGAGAGGCGGAGCTTAATAGAAAAGTTCATATTTCTCTCAAAGAAATTAGCATGTGAAACATCTTTTAAGTATCGTTTTATGGAAAGAAAACCATATATATATTAAGAAAAATCAGCCGAAGATTATGTCCCGTCCACCCGCCCGATTCCAAGTGTGATGAATTTTTTATTCCTTGTGAGACCAGGGGGCGGAGTTTAATTGCAAAGTCTACATTTCTGTACAAGAAATTACCAAATAAAACATGTTTGTGGTATTATCGCATTATTGAAAAAATACTAATTTGATAAAAAGTAGCGAAGGAACATACTTATTCTCCCAAAAGCAAAAGAAGATGTCGAAAGAAGAAGAAAAAACTATACAAAAATAACGCGTTTAGTAGTCACAACTTAACTTTTTAGTAAATTTGTAACGTAAATTGGTGGATCTGGCAACTTTGGTGACGCAGCTAGATATAATTCCAACCTCAAATTCACCATTTGATTTTTTAAGTATTTTATTTTTGAAAGGCGGCAATGTATCTTACGAGAAGGAAGTCACAGGATAAGCCCCACCCACTCGCCCTTATCTCAATTGTGATTAATTTTTTTATTCGTCATGAGACGAGAGGCGGAGCTTAATAGAAAAGTTCATAGTTCTCTCCAAGAAATTACCACATAAAACATGTTTTAAGTATCGTGTTGTTGAAAGAAAACTATATAAATTAAGAAAAAGCAGCTGAAGATTATGCCCCGCCCACCGCCCCGATCTCAATTGTAATAAATTTTTTATTCCTTGTGAGACCAGGGGGCGGAGTTTAATTGCAAAGTCAGCAGTTTTGTACAAGAAATTACCAAGTGAAATATGTTTGTAGTATTATTGTATTGTTGAATATAGATTATTTTGATAAAAAGTAGCGAAATCATATATTTATTATGTCACAAGTAAAAGAAGATATCCAAAGAAAAAAAAACTGTACAAAAATAAAGCGTTTAACAACTTGACTTTTCTGTATTTCTTTTAATGATTAATTACATATATTCAGAGCAAAAAAGACAACGGATTTATTAGAAATACACCAAAGATCAGTTTTTTCATTGTAATAAATAATTTCTAATAATAATGGCTCAGATTGTACGTAAAATGCATATTCCTTAAAATGGGGCATATTTAGAAAAAAACATGTTTTCTTTACCATTGCTATATATTTGAATTTGTCACATTTATTTTATTAATTCCAATTTCAAACAATTGCTTTAATTTATTGATACACAATATGAATTAATTTTATTTTTCATGTCACTTGTGATTACGACAAAAGCTTTGGAAAAGACGAATAGTAATAGCATTGCAAGGTTTATTCATTATTCACTGTATCACATGCTTAATTATTTGTATAAATAGAGTGGCTGAGAAAATTAGAATTTTTTTTCCAATAGTAAACGATTTGGTAAACAATGCAAAAAAAAATGTTAAATCACCTTTGAGAGTACAATTTTATCGAAGTGCATTGCCCAATTTACCATATTTTATTTTTAATAAAGTGATGCTTATTTTGACCAAAAATGTTACTTTACACGGTAAAGGGAACGCAGATGTGATGTAACATGTAACAAGTTCGTAGGCACAGTTAACCTCCATTAACATAGCAGCAACCTAACTGTGTGTACTGGATAGAATCAAATTTGGTTAAATTCAAGTTAAATTATTATAATTAATTGAAATCGAAACTTATAATTAAAAGAAAATATGATCCTAACAAGTGAAACCCACACCCGACCTCCTGCTCTGCCTGTAGCTTACACCTCCCACTCAGCCGCCGCCTTGCCGGTCTAGGAAAACCCCCCTCCAACGTTGCAATTTTCGCCCCGATGAATAAATCATCAAGTCAAAGAAAATTCCCTCTAATCCCCGGCTCCACAACGCAAATAATGTGCAATTGCTCATTATTCCGCGACCTGAAAAGTGAGATTAGCGACTTACTTGAGGCCGGCAATAATCTCCATGGCTCCATTGAAGTTGCCGATGTTCCAGCAGGATAACGCCACTCGGAGGACGCACGAAAGAACGGCTCGTCGAGCATCGTGCGTAGGCTGGGAGATTATCAGCTGTGTCACCCACGCGCTAACCTAATGCATTCAAACAGTCAGACTCATCGGGAAAGCTGCAGCGCAAATGGATTGCGACGTGTCGAGCCGAAAGGGATTATCACACTTATTTGGAAGCGAAAAGGATGTTGTTAAATTTTTACACTTCAAACCTACGCGAGCACCAGGATGTGGCGGGAGCTTTGGTAATGAGACCGCTGGATTCGTGCTGGAAAGGAAACGCGGGGTTCCCACGTTATTTATTTATTAAAGTGGCGAGAGGGAGATTTGTGAAGATTTAATGGCGGTGGAACATGGTTAAGTGGATGTTTTGAGCTGTTTTTGGTGCGAATTGTGTCGAATATACAACACAAATTATAACAGGTCTAGCAAAATTTTACAAGTTTAATTTTTTTTCTCGCACATGAGGTTATAATTTTAACCAGGTCGGAGACATACTCGTACACACACATGCGGGGATTTTAGAGGGGTGTTAATGTATTGTTCTGGAAATTGTTTGCCTTGTTAATGGCACGTGTTGCTTTTGAACTGGCAAGCGTCCTTTCCATTGTATCCATATAATCCTCGCACTATATAAAAAATTTATTGCTTGTTTATAAAACGCTTTTTCTCTATAGAGAGGGTGAACAGAAAAAGCTTTTTTTATATGTATAAATTTTGAGTAAGTACTAAACACGTTTTTCTGTAAATGCAGTGATCTGCACGTATGTGTGGTGGCCGTAGAAAATAAACTGTCACTACTAAATTAGCCTCTTGAGTATTTTTCCTTTGCGTGAAAAGTAAAATAATATGTTTCAAATTCGGGTGTCATATTTCAATATTTTGCACAGTTTTCGCTTGTGAACTAGAAAGGAAACTTTGACCTCTAAATTTTTTAAAAAACAGGTCATGTTGAATATGCAGGGTGATTCGATTTGGTATTAGGGCACATTTATATTTGGAGCTATCAAACAAATATGTCCTATAGTTTCTAAATAAAATGATAATTGATAATAATTTAATAATAATTTCCTAGGATACGATCCATAATATCATTTTTTACTGTTGACAGATGCCATTTTTGACCGTTTTCGTCGGAATGTTTAACATGAATTTAATTAACAGCCTAAAATTAAATTTATGTTAAATCATGAAGTTAATTCTTCAACTTTGAGGTATATTTTCAAAATTTTGGTGCAGGGACTTTTTTAACCATTTTTTCGAGTTTTTCAGAGCTTTTTTAACAACGTACCATCGAGCTTATCCGTCTTTTTGTGATCATCCTGTATGTGTCACTATATTTATTAATTTTTTTCCTAAGACAACAGAACAATTTCGGGAATCAAGAAAATATAAAATTAAAACTGTTAACTTTTTTAACAATATTTTCCTCAGTTTTCGCTTGTGAAGTAGAAATGAAACTTTTTTATTTCGACTTTGGGAAATGACATATCCAATAAGAAAATAAGAGAGCGGGTGGGCGGGGCTAGTACCTGCTAAAATTAGACCAATTTTGGCAAATAGCATACCTTCTACGAAAAGAGAGGGTGGGTGGGCGGGGTTAGTACCTGTTAAGATAATAGTGATTTTCGCAAATGACATACCTTCTAAGAAAAGAGAGGGTGGGTGGGAGGGTTTAGTACCTGCTAAGATAAGAGTGATTTTGGCAAATGACATACCTTTCAAGAAAAAGAAGGTGAGTGGGTGGGGTTAGTACCTGCTAAGGTAAGACTAATTTTGGCAAATGACCTACCTTCTAAGAAAAGAGAGGGTGGGTGGGCGGGATTATCACCTGCTAAGATAAGAGTGATTTTGGCAAATGAGATACCCTCTAAGAAAAGAGAGGGCGGGTGGGCGGGGCTAATATCTGCTAAGATAAATCTGATTTTGGCGAATGACATACACTCTAAGAAAAGAGAGGGCGGGTAGGTGAGGCTAGTATCTGGTAAGACTGATTTGGGCAAATGACATATTCTGTAAGAACTTTTGATGCAAAATATAGCCATAATTATTACATTTTTCAAGAAGAAACTATCAACTTATTTTTTAATAGAATGATGTACGTATTTTTAGGTATATTTGGTAAAAGAAACCTTGACTAGGTTAGGCTGGAAAAGAACATTTCTGTAGTATAACTTTTTTTTCATAAAATTCGAATTTGTGAAAACAAAGAAAATGCACCCTTATTGTAAGTTATAAGTTATAAAAGAAAATTGCGTGGTGTAAAATCTGCAGATCTTGGAGGCCATCCAACACAAACTATTGTCAAAATGTTATTTTTGCATCCACTAAATTTCATTGTTCTGGGGAATAAGAGACGGTAATAATTGTGTAAATAGACCATAAATGACACTGTATCAGTAGCAGGTAGAATCCCGTGCAGGGATGTACTTAAAAAAAATAATACTCCGTAAATAATTTTTTGGAATTTTTTTATATTGAACTCAGTTGTCTCACTTATTGTCTCCATATTTTTAACGAAAGCTAGCGTCACTAATCCAGTGACTGGCACAGTCCAAACTCTCATTAAAATGCGTACCTAAATATAAAATTTTTCAGGAAGTGACTATCACCTTTTTTTTCAAATATATGTATTTTTACGTATATTTGGTAGAAGAAACCTTGACTAGGTTAGGATTTAAAAGAAAATCTCTGTAGTATTACTCATTTTTCAAAACATTCAAATTTGTGTAAAGAAGTTACGTAATAAAAGAAAATTACGGGGTGTAAAATCTGGAGATCCTGCAGGCTATCGAACGAAAAGTATTCTCAGAATGTTATTTTTGTAGCCTCTAAAATTTCATCGGTCTGTGGAATAAGAGACGGTAATAAATGTGTAAATAGGGAATGTAAGTACTTAAAAGAAATACTTTCTAAATCATTTTTTGAATTTTTTTATGTTGAACTCACTTATTGTCTGCATATTTTATTGAAAATTGTCGTCACTAATCCAGCGATTATGACATCCAACCTCTCATAATTACGCCATAAAATTTTAGTAAATACAAAAATAACGTTCTGGGTATACATATTTAAATCGTGGTTTCCAGAAAAAAACCGTCATTCTAACATGAAATCAATACTACATCTACAATACCATGAAAAAATGTCCTCTAGTAGATCATGCAATTTATTTTTAAATTATTTGATGTTGGCATTGCAGTTATTTGGCACTATGATTGACAGTTATTTTTAAACCAAAAATGGATCGCCTTATCATTATTGCAAAAATAAATTTCATGGTCCACTAGAGAACTTTTTTTTATACTACGGTGCTTATACTAATTACAGCGAGAACTTTTTACTACATTGCTACAGTATGGCTGCCCATTTTTTATATATGGGTATTCCAAAAATGACGCATAAGGTCAATGAAGAACTCGAAAAAATTGTTAAAAAATTCTTGAATCAAATTTATAAAAATATTAAACTTCAAAATTGAAATTTGTTTAAAAATTAATATGTTTTCATGTGAATTTTGTGGTCGTCTAAAATTTCAATCAAAATTTTCAAAAAAGACATCTGTCAACAGTAAAAAATGATGTGGATCGATTTATAGCAAATTATTATTAAGTTGTTAATAAATAATTATTTAACTGTCTATTAAACATGCAGTCTATTAAAACAAATCAGAATAACGAAGTAAATTGTTTAACTTTGAAGTTTAATATTTTCAAAAGTTTGGTGCAGGGATTTTTTTAACCATTTTTTCAAGTTTTTCAGAGCTTTCTTAACAACGCACAATCGAGATTTTCCGTCTATTTGTGATCACCCTGTATGTGACACTACACTGAGTAAATTATTTCTTGAGATAACAAAACAGTTTAAGATGGCCAATTTCATGTCATTTAACTTGTAGGGGAGTATTTTATTTGAGTTAAAAGTACAAAAAATTACAATATTACTATTATATTGTTTTATAATTATGGCCAGTTATAACTAAAATATTCGCTTCTATGTATTCCCCGTCTATACAAACCTGCATTTTTGTGTTCTATAACTATAATTATCAAATTTTTCAGGACGTGACTATCAACTTTTTTTTAATATACGTATTTTTAGGAATATTTGGTAGAAGAAATCTTGATTAAGGTTTCAAAAGAACATTTATGTAGTAAGTATAATTTATTAAAAAAATGCACTCTTTTTGTAAGTTAAGTTATAAAAGAAAATTACGTGGTGTAAAATCTGGAGATCTTGCAGGCCATCGGACGCAAACTATTCTCAAAATGTTATTTGGGCATGCTCTAAAATTTCATTGTTTTGTGGAATAAAAGACGTTAATATTTGTGTAAATAGACCCTAAATGACATTGTGTCGGTAGCAGGTAGAATCCAGTGTTGGCATGTACTTAAAAAAATAATACTTTATAAATAATTTTTTAGAATATTTTTATGTTGAACTCAGTTCTCTCACTTATTGGCTCCATATTTTCAATGAAAGTTATCGTCACTAATCTAACGATTATGCCGTCCAACCTGTCATAATTACGCCATAAAATTGTAGTAAATACAAAAATAACGTTCTGGGTATACTTGCTTAAATCGTGGTTTACAAAAAATCATCATTCTAACATAAAATTAGTACTACATTCTATACCATATAACCGAAAAAAATGTCCTCTAGTAGATAATGAAAGTCATTTTTAAAACATTTGATGTTGGCATTTCAGCTATTTGACACTTTGTTTGATAGTTATTTTTAAACCGAACATGAATCCCTTTAATGTCGCCAACATCATTATTTCAAAAATAAATTTCATGGCCTACTAGAGAACTTTTTTTTGTAGCGAGAATTTTTTATTCCATTGTCACAGCATGGATCCTCATTTTTTATACAGAGGTTTCCAAAAATGCATAAGCTTAAAAAACTTAAAAAAAAATGGTTAAAAAATCCCTGAACCAAATTTATGAAAATATTAAACTTCAAAATTGAAGGTTTTTTTTAAATTGATATGTTTTAATGTGAATTTAATTGGTAGTCCAAAATTCCGATGAAAATTGTCAAAAATGACACCCGTCACCAGTAAAAAATTACGTATTACAGCAAATTATTATTATTAAATTATTAATAAGTAATTATTTAAGACCATCAAGTATTTACTTAGCAATAGACAAAAGCCTAAACTATTGAGTTGCGACGGATTTATTAACCTTTATAAAGTTTATAAGCTTATAAACATCTACATATATACTGTGAATCACTTCGATATCTCATTAATTATTATATTATTAAAGACGAACAAAGAAAGTCAAGTGTACGGTTCTTTAGAATACCCTTTATATTGCTTATTTTTGAAATTCCGATGCGACGTTGCCACGTTATTGCAATAATGTTATTTTTAAGATCTGTGTATGAATTAATAGAGTGACAAAAACAGAGGTAGGGGATTTATTAATAAAAGAAATAAAATTTTAATACACAGGGTGTTTATAAAAAATGGTTAGTTTAAATTATGTAGATGAATTTTAGGTTACTTTGTCTTCCCTTTTCAGATAATAATTATTGCAAGAGACTGTATTTCAAAGCTTTATATTCATACTTGAATCCTCTATTGTGTTGTGTTGCATTGTATTGTATTGTACACTTTTTCTATCGTGTTAATACCGCTTTGAAATTAATATGTTACTGTCCGGACCTGATTCTAAATGACATTGTGTTGAAGCAATAAAGCTATTATAGACATTTTGATGTAAAATTCCGATAAAACTTCAATTTAATGTTCTTTCCAGTCGCCTGGCTTCGAAAACTACACGATAATTGTTATGTTAAGCAAGCAGTTAGTTCCCAGAAATAGTCCCGTAATCCCTGCATAAAAATATATCTGTCCCACTAAACGCGCACTTTACGAGACACAAATGAAATTTATAGGAAACAAGACATAGCAAAGTTAAAATATAACTCAATTTCGAGGATATTGGCCGTCATTAGGTGTCTAGTTTAGGTGGAGGAAGCACAAAAACGGTAGGTGGGAAAGCGGCAGAAACGAAAGTTAAGCTCTCGTAAATAGCTCTATTTCAGGAAGGTTCAAGAGTTTAGGAGTTCCCTCCTAAACAAAGCGAGTGTTGCAGATAAAAAACGTCCAGATGTGATAACTCCCGAAGTTTGCAGAAGCATCTGGTCGATTTTTCGTCTACTCCACGAAACTTTCGAAGGCGAAGGATCAAATTTGCATGCATTAACCTCTGCGGAAAAATTTTAGTTGGGGAAGTTTGTTAGTGCGGTTTCATTACGAAGGTGCGTCTGCTCGCGAGGAATTTCATTTCGTATGTCGAGAGGGTTGAGAGCTTGAGACATAACGGATTTCGGGAAAAAGTCCGTTCTGTATTAACGGCAATCCAAAAATTTAATTAAAACTTTTCAACGAAATTTATGCCCAGGTCGGATGGCCGGTGCTCTAGTTCTCGCGTTTGATGTGCAGCTTAGAAAATGCGAGGGCTGGGGGTGTTTCGGCTCAAAGGGTAGGATTTTTCGTGGGGTTTTTACCTCGTTGAAGCGTTTGATGAGAGTGGCTACAGAAGACCTCGCGGAGGAGTTGCCAGGAAGGCTGTCCGACGACGTGCCCGTGGCTCCTCCAAGGTCCAAGGTCACCTGCCGAAGGTAATCGATCGGTGGAACCTGAAAAATACGATCGGGATGTCAATTATTTTGATTAGAGAGGGGTGGGCGAAAGCTAAATATCGCTTCATAAAGGGGGCGGAAACGCAACGGCGCTGCAGATATGAAATGGAAGGTTTTGCGTCATTATTCACGAGCAGTTTTTTGTAGTTTACGTAAAAACTGAAACTCATTAGCATAAAAGCCCAGTTTGAAACACGTCAGATAGGGGAGCACCGCAAACTTTGATGTGACGGTACAAAGATGAGTCACAACGGATAATAGAGTTGAACTGATTATCTCAGGACTGCTACCTGTGTAGAAAGTCGAACGATTTTTTTCTTAAGGACTTTTCTTTAATTTTTATTTTCCATCTCAAAGAAGGGAAATACTGTCGTTTTGTCTATATAATAACCAGAATAAAGTCCGTGTATGTAGGTATTTTTGTGAGATTAGAGATATTTAAAAACAGAGTGTTCAGTTTTGGCGCGCACCCCAAACCGGCATTTAGTTCTTTTCGCTGTAGTTGAGACAGAGGTGCTGGGGGAGCCGCAGGTAGGGTATGGGTTAGGAAGTGATTAGTTAGTGTTGCAAGCACTATTGAAGAAAAAATTCAAAAATAATTTGTTTCGAAAATACTATTTCGTTTTAATGCTTTCATAAATAAATCAAAAATTTTTCAAAGAGTTGTCCATTAATTTTTTTTTATAAATGATATATAATTTAGTACACCAAATTGTTAAAAATTTAATACCCTAATTATAGTGTGGAACTTGATTCTGCGAATATTTCTTTCTGATTAAAAATTTTAAACCAGAGTTATCTAATAAATTTTGACGTTATCAAGTCTTAGGAAAGGATGAATCCTGATCAATAATTTACCTATCATATTCCCGATTACCCTAAAGTTTCTACGTTGAATTATAATTTATTGTAGAACTCCGAACTTTTTTCCAAAAGTCCTAAATTGGCTTTTTCCAAATTTTATTTATTTTATGATAACACTATAAGTTAAAAAAATATGAATAATACTATCCAATAGTGTACGAAAAAAGACGTGGACATGGGGAGATTAAATGTTATTATATAAGTTGAATTTTTTTCGCAAATTAGGATGTTTAGCGTGAAAACTCAGAGCGGACTCATAAACCACAAGAACAGGAGCATATTATTTTATAAAATTGAAACGGTATTTAATACGCAAAATTTTGAGGTTAGTTTCTAAATTCAATTTTGAAATATTAATGAATAATTTTGAACTTTTTTTCCAGAAGCCTACAATAGCGTTAAATATTAAAAATTGGTCTAAGGTCATTTAGACAGAACTTCCCTCGTCCTTGAAGTGCAACAAATCCAGCTTCATAAAAAATTATAAAATTTAATTTTGCGAAATTCGATTTATTTTATAACTCTTATTAAAAAATATAGATAATAGTAGGCACAGTTGCAGAAAAAAAACTTGGTACGAGGAGATCGAACTAGTTACGTTTGCCTTCCTTTTATTCTTGAATCAAATGTTATTCTACAATTTTGCTTTTTTTGAAAAAATCAGGATGCTGAAAGCAAAAACTCAGGGCGGTTTCATAAACTACAACAACACGAGTATGCCACTTTATCAGATTTAAATAGAATTCACTACGCAAAATTTTGATGATAGTTTCTAAGTTCCATTGTAAAATATGAATGTATAATTTTGAACTTTCTTCCAAAAGTCTAAAATCGGCTTTTTCCAAAGTTTATTTATTTTATGATAACACTATAAGTTAAAAAAATATGAATAATACTATCTAATAGTGTACGAAAAAAGACGTGGACACGGGGAGATTAAATGTTATTATATAAGTTGAAATTTTTTCGCAAATCAGGATGTTTAGCGTGAAAACTCAGAGCGGACTCATAAACCACAAGTACAGGAGCATATTATTTTATAAAATTGAAATGGTATTTACTACGCAAAATTTTGAGGTTAGTTTCTAAGTTCAATTTTGAAATATTAATGAATAATTTTGAACTTTTTTTCCAGAAGCCTACAATAGCGTTACATATTAAAAATTGGTCTAAGGTCATTTAGACAGAACTTCCCTCGTCCTTGAAGTGCAACAAATCCAGCTTCATAAAAAATTATAAAATTTAATTTTGCGAAATTTGATTTATTTTATAACTCTTATTAAAAAATATAGATAATAGTAGGCACAGTTGCAGAAAAAAAACTTGGTACGAGGAGATCGAACTAGTTACGTTTGCCTTCCTCTTATTCTTGTATCAAATGTTATTCTATAATTTTGCTTTTTTTGAACAAATCAGGATGCTTAAAGCAAAAACTCAGGGCAGTCTCATAAACTACAACTACAGGAGTATGTACTTTATCAAATTTAAATGGAATTTACTACGCAAAATTTGGAGAATAGTGTCTGAATTCAATCGTAAAATACGAATATATAATTTTGAACTCTTTTCGAAAAGCCGACAACAGCGTTCTCTTAAAAATTGGTCTAATATCATTTGGTCCGAACTTCCCTTGTTCTTGAAGTATAACAAATCCAGCTTCATCAAAAAATTATAAAATTTGATTTTGCGGAGTTTCATTTATTATGATAACCCCTATAAGTTAAAAATACGAGTATATAAGATAAAACTAAATACAGTGTAATAAATAAAAGTGGGCACGGGAAGATCGAACTAGTTACGTTTGCCTTGCTCTTATATTTGTATAAAATGTTATTATATAATTTGGACATTTTTGGGCAAATCATGCTACTGAAGCTCAGGGCAGATTCATGAACCACAAATACAGGAGTGTGTTATTTTATAAAACTTAAATGGTATTTACTTCGAAAAATGTTGTGGTTAGTTTCTGAGTTCAATTAGAAAATATTATTGCATAATTCTGATTTTTTTTCAAAAACCTATAAAAGGGTGAAATATAAAAATTTGTCCAAGGTTATTTAGACACAACATCCTTCTTGTGCCCGAAGCACAACAAATCCAAGTTCTTTAAAAATTATAAAACCTGATTTTGAGAAATCGTATTTATTTTATGATAACCCTAATCACAGTGAAGGAAAATAAAATAAACACGAGGAGATCAAAGCAGTTACATTTGTCTTGCTCCTATATTGATAAAATGTCATTTTATTTTTTGGATTTTTTTTTTTTTGAAAATCTAAATCCCCAGGTTAAAAATTCAAGTCGGATTCATAAACCACAAGTATAGGTATGTTATTTATAGAATTTAAATGGTATTTAATACCCAAAACTTTGAGGTTAGTTTGTATGTTCAATTGTAAAATATTGTATAATTTTGATTTTTTTTCCAAAAGCCTATAATAGCGTTAAATATAAAATATGTCTAATGTCATTTAGACAGAACTTTCCTCGTCCCTACCCAGTACAACAAATCCAACGACATATAGGTAGTAGCAATCACAGTGTAAAAAAAGTGTACCATGGGGATGTTATTTTGTAAATTTTAAATGACATTTACCACGTAAAATTTTGAGACGACGTCATGAAAATGTTGGTGGGGATGATTAGACACATTTTAGTTGGTATTTTACCATCTACACAATAAGATCTAACAATCTTGCATCTGAAGCATAAACACGTTATGTTTTTGAATCAGCACGACGAAATCTATATTCCAAAATTTTTTGGAAATTTTTCGGCAACTTTTTCAAAATCAAAATTTTTCAATGAAAATTTTGGCCAATTTTAGACAATTTTTCTGAATTTAACCAAAGATATTTTGTTATAGATTTTGGTTTCCAGAAATTAGTTTCGGCCTTATGTCTTGTCCTACTATTTTCCAGAAGCGACTACTGAATATTGCAATTTTTTGGATGAAAAAAAAAGGAAATTTGAACCGACTATTTTTAAATCTATATCTATGTACATTAAAACCCAAAACTTAAATTTTTCTCAATCCGCTTACTCTACAGTGGTGGAATGTCATAAGTATACCAAGGGGATAACACAAAAAAAAATATTTATCTAAGACACTGGATCACTGGACTTCTTTGGCAGTTGTTTCCGGAATTTCACTCTAAATTAAAAAAAAATTGAAACAATGTGAAGGATCTGGGGGACACTTTGTGCTTTTTTTGTTTTTAAATCAAAGACTTGTGCATTGTTTTTGAAAATGATTGAAAGAATTTTGGGACCTCTTTGTGTGTTCTGTTTGTAAAGTAATTTGAAAAGAACTTGAGAGCTCTTAGTGTTTTTTTTTATAAAGATTGAAAGAGACTAAATGTTTTTTGACGAATAAAATTAAAAAATTAAAATGCGGGAAAACAGAAAACAAAAAAAAACATGGCAATTACGAAACTTATGAAATTAAGGAAAATGTTATACCTCATATTTGTAACTTAAGCCTCAAAACTCAAATTCTGTTAAAATAAAAAAAAAGTGGTATTGATTTTTTTAGAATATTTTTGTTTTAGCGGATTCGTTGATGCAATTTATTGCTTATAAAAGATTCGTTTGCCCGTTTCAACGAAACAAAAATTTTTTTTTGAAAACAAAAATTAAATCTCCAAATAACATATTTTTTGCACTCTTACATTAAAAAAAAAGTCCTGCCTTGGTCTTCCTGGAACTAGCGCTGTGTTAAATTTAATCATTTTAATTACAAACTTTTTTTTTTTTCAATTCAATTCTTTATTCATGTTAACAACACTACAGTGTTTTACATACGTCAATTTAGAGATTTAAAAAAACAAAATAGTAATAATAAATAAGGACAATAGATACACATACACATCTACAAATACACACTATAAAAAAAAAACAGGTTGAAAGAGATAATTTACATTATCATGTCGCACATGAAGAATTCGTCAGTTGTGAAAAGCGCTTTTTTTAACAGATAGTTTTTAACTGTTAGTTTGAATTTATTATTAGGTAGGACTTTCACATATTGGGGAATTTTATTATAGAATTTTAAGGCTATATAATTCGGACTATTTTGGGACTTTGTTAGCCTATAATATGGGGTACATAGCTCAGATTTGTTTCGTGTATTA